ACCTGAAACGTCTTACCGTTTCCAAAATCATATCCAGTTGCTTGAGTAACTGTTTTTTGGCGTATCTTATTACATGGATGTCTAACCTTCACCGACGAATAAAAAAGACGTTACCTTTTACAGGACGACACCTTCGGACGATGAAACCACCGCTCGTCCCGCCATTTTGTGCACACTTAAATGAGCAGTAATAATTGATAAATGACGGGGTTGACCTGCGAAGGGATCGTCCCAGACATGTTACAGTAAAAGGCCAGGGGTTGTCTGAGGTGTGACGTGGGGAAACTGTAGCCTCCACCAGGCTTTTCTATAGCCTCCGTAGCAGGCTTATAGAACTGTGGGTTTGGTGGTCTTCGGCTGTTTTCTGATTAGCCTCCGTAGCAGGCTTATAGAACTGGGGGTTTGGTGGTCTTCGCCTGTTTTCTGATTAGCCCAACGGGGGTAATTCAACCAGGCTGACTATCTTGTCTATATGCAATCAGAAAATAGCACATAAAAGCTCCCAAAGACCATGAAGACCCCAAAAAAACCTCCAGTTTTTGGCATGCTATGGAGGCTAGCCTTTCTACGGGAATACGGATCGTAGTATCCGGCAAAAAGGAGAGTAAAATTGGCCAGGGGGGTCCGTCGGCAGAAGGTTGGTTCTTTCCTAACTGCGCGGCCAGTCAAACCTACAAGGCGGCCAAACTCCTCTGGCAAATATTCTCCCTGTATGTAGCCAGCGTAGTTAGTCTGGTAGAGACTAGGGGAAACTGGATGGACGGAACACGAAAGGTGTTGGCAACACACGCACGCGATGTGAGACCCTTAATAATTTCCTAGCAGAGCTTTTGATGGCTACAAGGCAGTGCTGGTATTAATTTTGCAAGACGGTATCAAACTAGCAGGTAATATTTGATTCGCCACCGTTTGGGAAGATCGAGAAAAAACATATTGGTGCAGAAAAAGAAACCCCGTTAAAACACGTAGAACACATCTCTTGGTGGCTACAAGACAGTTTAAAATTGGCCGGACAGTATCCAACACACCACGGTAACATTGGCTGGCGAGAGAAAAATTTAGATACAGGTACAAAAACGAAAGCCCGAAAAAAAAGCCTGAAAACACGTCAAAGCAAATTGTTTGGTGGCCACAGGACAGTAACACAGGATTGCCCAAACGGTATGAAATGTTTAGGGCAATATCCAACACAGCAAGAGACGCTTGGCTGGCTGAGAAAAATTCAGATACAGGTACAAAAAAGAAAGTAGGAAAAACGTCTAAAATACGTAAAAAAAACTAACCTCTGCTTGTATCTGTATCGGTATAACCGGTATAACCGCCCTTCTGCTGCGTAACACACCAGCTTCGCAGGCACGCGGCGCGGCGGCAGCTAGCTATATCACACCGAACGACTTGTTACACTCAATCTTTGCACATTTGATTGCAGGAGTTGTTTAAAGCTTTCTAGTGATGATGCCCCAACTGTGCTTGGTGGCAACGAGTTCCAGTCTACGATAGTTCTGTTTGGAGAGTAGTGTTCGCCTGTAACAACAATAACAACAGTACTGTAGACTAATCAGGAGAGAAAATGCCTTATGCATGTAGAATAGAGAGCAAAACATGTTGGATGAAATGTTTATGTAAATGTTACGTATTATATACACGTATATTATGCAATGTTGTAAGGAGAACGCGGTCGATTTTGGATCAATAAATCGTTTATTGAATAGCGAAATAAGCCAGAAATACACGATCAAATTCATGGATGTTATATTCCAACATGTAATCACAAGACGTGGTGACGGCACACGTCAAGTTTGTTTGAACTTATATTAATGCCGCCACCAACACAGGGGACAATACAATACTCATTTTCACCTGAGTGAAGTGAGGAAGTGTAAAGTGCCTTTCCCAAGGGCACAAGATCGGTGGCATGTCAGGACTCGAACCCGGGACCTCTTGGTTATTGCTGTGACCTATAGCTGTCATGTTTGTAAGTAGCATGTGTCACATACTAGCTAGAAACTGTTCTTGTCGCAATTTAAAAGATAAACGGGTCAAACAAAGATCATTTATTGGAAAATTACCATCAAATTTGATTTTAAATCTCTTTGGTTGAATGATGAGGATAGAAAAGTTGAGAATTTCGAATTTGTAAGATAAGAGCCATAATTAAATCATCGTAGTTTTCAGGCCTGCATGTGTGATGATTGTTCATTGGCCTGTTGTTAACCTGATAAGGCCACAGCAAGTAATTTTTATGGATGACATCAGCGCGCGCATTAATTTTCGCCTGATTTTGAAAAAAAAAACATTTTGTTGCCTTCTGACAGTGGTCACCATGCCGAAAATGGGCAAAGATGTCTGTTGCCATGCCGGATGGTGGATGGCAGATAACTATGAAGAGAGGAGACAAGAAAAGGCTCTGATTTAATGTTTTGTCACTTTGCTGCAGTGATATGTCAGGCTGGCTGTGTATATGTGATATTCCTTGAATAAAAACTATTTGTAACGTTACAATGATTGAGTCAAAATACTAAAATGTAAGAACCTTGCTTTTTTCGTCCCGCCTTGTTTTTTTTTTTCGCCCGCTCTCATTAGATTTTGAGTCTGGGGAGGATGTCATCCATAAAATTTACTTGCTGTGGCCTTATGAATTCAAATTTTTCTCGTGATTTGCAGGTGGCACGCCCCACATGTGCGTGAAACACGCCGTTCCAACATGGCGAGTGAGCATGGACGGGAAGAACGAGCGGGTAAAATTTCGCCCAGAAAGACGCACCACGTCCGCTTTTATGGTAAGTTGTGCTTTAAATTGTCGTATATACTCTCTGGACTATTGTAGATAAATTTCATTGAACTTAAATGCAGCAAAAAGACAGAATTTCGAAAATAAGTTGCGGCAACTGTCTCCCACGAGTTAATGCTGCAGTAAGTTAAGCAACCGCTGGGGGCGTTTTTGTGTGGTCCAGTGAATGTATCTCCGGTAAAGGCACCGCAGCCACCAATTCTTTAATTATGGGTGAAGCAACTACTATTCAATGAGGGGAAAATCAATGATCCTGAAATGGAAGTATAACTTCGTGCAGGTTTACGACAAAAATCCTGGATAAAACCTCGAGTTATACCAAGGAGGTTATACGGACACTCACTTAGTACCTACTCTCCAAGCAGAGGTTTGGGTTTGGGGTTATTTTTGACGTGTTTTTAGACTTTTTTTATCGGGGTTTCTCTTTTGTACTGGAATTTTTCACCCCCTCCCCCAAAAAAATTCCAGTGCAAAAGAGAAACCCCGATAAAGAAGCATGAAAACACGCCAAAATAACCCCAAACCCAAACCTCTGCTTGGAGAGTAACACTCAATAGTATGATGGTGCGCTATGCCGAACTCTTCTTTCGTTTATAGAAAGTTAATCTGACAACTACTTTGATATCAATCTCTGTAATCATAATGAGGTATTTCCCTGTATTTTTAAGCGTTAATAACATACACACAAAGACGCAAGGTCAACCAAATATCAACCCGTATTAGTAAACAACACACCTACCTTAAGAACTGCACTTTGTGAATAAGCCGCTAGAGGCGCCTTGTTAACTGCACTCGTGACCCTTGACCCCTATATAGATTTGCTTGGAACTTAGGGTCCTGTGTGTTTTGGTCAAATTCTCTGCGTTTCAATGTAAAACAAAAGTGTTCCGACGCAAAGAGCAGACAGGAGGGACACTATAGTGCCGTTAGTGAAGAGGATTACTCGGACAAGGTGATAGATTTGGAAGGAGGGGAGACAGACGACCGGTAAACTTCGAGTGGGGAGGGGGGCGGTAACCCACATTTAGGTTCAGGTCCGGATTCAAGTCCAGAGGTTTAGGTTCAGTTCCAGACTCGTAAGTCCAGACCTAGATATAAACCCATGGCATATACAAAATTGCATGTTGGCAACCTTGCAGTGTTGTTTGGGCAAAACTTTGGCCACGTAAACATGGAGGCCACACTTGACGATGCCCGATGGAAATGCTTTATTCATTTTGCAGCACAGATTTTCCAATCTATGGATTCGGAAGGTTTTAGGCAGTTTGGAAAGAAAAGAGGTATGTGACATGGTTTTTTTTTGTAATGAGTTCGGAATCGGTTCTTGCCTTTTAGGTTTTTTTTTGGACTTGAACCTAAACATTTTTACAAGTCCAGAACCAGTCCAGCAAACCGGTACAGCACTACTAGTGTATGTAACGTTAACATTATATAACTCAAAGTCAAACTGCAAATTTTGACAGCAATTTACAGTAAAGTTTATTCCATATGTACATGTACAATACAGATAGACAAGTGTATTTCTAAAGTTCTCTTTACATTCCAGGTTTGTTGTCTGAAGGCCTCTACAGAGTTTCTGGCTTTAATGACGACATAGAAGAAGTCAAACTGTCTTTTGACAAAGGTTAGTGTCAGATACACTGATTCAAAAACTCTAGATTCAGGCATTGCCTTCTGGAATCTCTTACAAATACTTCAGAAAATAGAAAATTTTTCAACACTTATCTTAATCTTGATTCAAGATACTTTATCTTGAATCTTATACTCATGGATCTACAGGTACTTGAATTTCTCAGAAACATTTACATATCAAATCAGTTGTCTCTGAATCAAGGACATCAGTACAATAGCAGACTGACATGTGTCAGTGGTGGGACATCTAGCAGGTTAAGTTGGAACTGCAGCTGTTTCTTATGCCTTTATTCATGACAGAATCTTCTTGTTTTCTCAGACAAAGCGCAGGCCGACATTTCGGAGTCCACATACGAAGACAACACGATAGACGGATGATGTGTCAGTGGGGACATCTAGCATGTTAAGTTAAAACTGCAGCTGTTTTCTCATGTTTTTTTTTTCATTCCAGAATTTCCTTGTTTTTTCCCAGATGGAGCTCAGGCCGACATTTCAGAGTCTACGTACGAAGACATCAATCATTATTATTATATCAATGAGCTATTTAGTAACTATCTTTTCCTATTACTATTACTACTTTGTTCCCTTTTATGTGTGAGGAGAGGGCTGGTATAAGTTTCTAACTTGTTGCCCGATCCTCAAAAAATAAATGTGAATAAAATAAATAAACTATTAGTAACAAAAGGTCTAAAGATTCTTGCTATTTTCTGATCTCTGCATTGATCATTACCAGGTTCTGTTCAATCTTTTTTATCAGTGGATGGCTTCTGTTTTGAGGGAAAACCTGCCTTACTATAGTCAAGGCTTCCTGGCAGAGACTGAGGGCTTTACTGTGGTCACCCAGGTGGTCCCAGGCCATCCCCAGGTTGTTGAGTGAGTAGGCAATGTCAGGATGTGGTGTACTGTGACCATATATAATCCTGCGCATCTGCAGTGTCTGTTCATGGTAGCTGATTGCTTTCCTGTAATCACCCATGTTTCTCCAGGCTCTCCCCAGGTTGCCGAGTAAGGTGGCAATGTTAGGATGTGCTTTAGTCTGACCATAGATACTCCTGTACATCTGCAGTGCCTGTTCATGGTTGCTGATTGCTTTTCTGTAATCACCCATGTTTCTCCAGGCTCCCCCCAGGTTGCCGAGTAAGGTGGCGATGTTAGGATGTGCTTTAGTCTGACCATAGATACTCCGGTACATCTGCAGTGCCTGTTCATGGTAGCTGATTGCTTTTCTGTAGTCCCCCAGGGAATGCCAGGCCATCCCCAGGTTGTTGATTGATGAAGCAATGCGTGGATGTGCTTTAGTCTGACCATAGATACTCCTCTTCATCTGCAGTGCTTGTTCACTGTAGCTGATTGCTTTTCTGTAATCACCCAGGTGGTGCCAGGCTAACCCCAGGTTGCCGAGTGAGGTGGCAATCTCAGGATGTGCTTTAGTCTGACTATAGATACTCCTGTACATCTGCAGTGCCTGTTCTTGGTAGCTGATTGCTTTTCTGTAAACACCCAGGTGGTGCCAGGCTAACCCCAGGTTGTTGAGTGAGTTTGCAATCCCAGGATGTGCTGTACTGTGACCATATATACTTCTGCACATTTGTAGTGACTGTTCCAGGTAGTTTCTGCCATTTTCAAAATCACCCAATTCTGTCCATGACTTCCCTAGATTGTTGAGTAAGCTTGCAATATTATGATGTGCAGTATTCTCACCATGGATACTCCTGCACATCTGCAGTGCCTGTTCCATGTAGCTGATTGCTTTTCTGTAATCTCCAAGCCCATCACAGGTTGCCCCCAGCATGCTGAGTGAGTAAGCAATGTCAGAATGTGCTGTATTCTGACCAAAGATACTTGTGTACAACTGTAGTGCTTGTTCAATGTAACGGATTGCTTTCCTGTAATCACCCATACAGTGGGAAACCTTTCCCAAGATTTGCAGTGTCACAGCAATTTCTAGCTTTGTGATATCTTGACCAGAGGAATGTGCCGATGACAGTGTTTTTAGTGTCATAGCAATGTTTAGATTTGTGTTAGGACTAGTAGAATGTCGCAATGACAGTGCCTCTTCAAGATAGCTGAGTGCCCCCTGGTTATCACCCATACTGCTCATAGCCTCTCCAAGCCTGTTGAGCAGCTCAATTTTCTCAGCATCATTTCCTTCAGCTTCCTTCAGAGCTTCCTGGTAGCAGCTGACAGCCTGGCTATATTTGCACAGTTCATTGTACATCCTTGCTTTTATTGTTGTAGAAGTAACATAGAAATCAGAGAATGAATTTGGAAGTACTTTTTGTTCAGACCATTTTCGGAAAAGATATCTAAGAGGGAGTGCTGTGTGATAGTATCTGAAAAGCTGCTTTTCGTTTGGTAGATAAAAAATCTGTTGCAGTGTGTTTGTTTGTACTTCATCATTGGTCTGTAGAGATGATTCCTGTCCTTGCTGTTCTGTTTCCATTGAGGCCAAAGCTGACAGGTTTTCCTTCTGTCCACCATTTGCGATGTATGTTCTGAGCCTGAGTTCTGCTGAGATGCTGGTAAGCACTGTCAGGTGGTGTGCATTGTTGGGACTGATCACTTGTTGGTTTTCCATTTCTTCTATTGTCTCCCAAACTGTGGTAGGTATGATGCCTTTAGACAGTGCCAAGCAGTCCACTGCTACAGCTGGGAAGCGATAGATCGCTTTCTTTACATCAACTAGCCTTGCTGTAATTGTTGCCTTATCCCTAAAGTTCTCCCTCAGTGTCTCCTGTGCCAGTTGTTGAGCCATTTTGCCCCCATCAGCTTGCAGTATCTCCACTGTGATATCCATGTACGTGTCAATCAAATCCTGGTCCCCTGCTATCAGGCATGGGTTTCTCAAGATAGTGGCAAGGTGATATCCTTCCTTCAGGTACAGTGTGACATCATTCTGAAGTATTGAGACCATGTTTTGTGGGGTGCAGATGAGTTCACTGGGTGGTTTGTTCTTAGTTCCCTGCCTGCCCAGTGGAGTCTTGCTTGCCTTTGGCATGGAGGCATCAAATGCAAACCCACGAGGTGTAACAGAGTCATAGTACCAGTTGTCAAGTGGGTTTTCAGAGTAGAAGTCATTGAGAGATTTTATTCCCAGTGCTGGGAGAATGGTTTCTCCCAGGTTGACCACCTTGAGGTGTAGATAGTGGGTGAGGTTACGGAAATACACAAGACATTCGTCACTTTCTTCTTCTACCAAGATGGCAAACTCCAGGTCTGAGTATGGAGTTACCAGTCCTGTGGCCTGTGAACCCAAACCTATCAGGGCATACTTACAGGGAGGGGGACCCATTAACCCAATACACTCTTCTACAAGCAGGCTGATGAACTCCTTTCTTTGTTGTGCAATTTTCTCAAACAACTGCCTGACAGCCTGAGCTCGTTTTGCCTCTATCTCTCTGACACATGGGTCGTCCTCATCATGTACATAGGGATCCAGCTGCTGGTCAATGGTTTCCATCTCCAGCTTGATCTGGTCCCGCATCTCCTTCAGCTGTTTCTTGTGTTTTTCTGTGTCATCTTGGCTAACATTACTATGCTTGTCTAGGATACATTTGAGGAATGCCTTCTCTACTTCTCTAACAGTTGTTGCTATGTTACCCTTGAGGACTTGATCCTGTGACCTGGCTATTGCTGCATTGTAGAGTGCTGCTGCTTGGACAAAGTCTCCCCCGTCTCCTGTCTGCTGACCTCGCTTACTGTAGACATCCCCCAACTTGCACAGGGGCTCCACCTCTCTCTGGTACTGCTGGGCTGTGGGGTCTGGGGAGTGACAGTTTGCTGGGTAAATGTACCTTGTAATTTACAATGTATCCTACAATGTTTATTCAAGAAAAATGTGGCTGTGTGTCCTCATGTTTGTATAAATATGCCAGCATTGTTAATTAAAAAAATATGTATGATTTACAAGAGTACAGGCATTTTTCCTTACCTCTCACATGTACCTTCTTGAGTGCAGCTGCAAAGTGCTTCTCTGCTAATCGTGATGTTTGCTGTAAGATATAAGTCCACATATGATAAGGGCCTTTATCGCATGACAATATTAATTGCTCTGTCTTGGAAAATATAAGACAATACAAGACTAAGACAAATTTAGGAACCTCTGGATGTGGTTCTGACATTGAGATGTACATGTACAATGAAGTTTTTACAAAACGACGAAGCTGCATTTTAAGTGAAATTGCTTTTTTTTTTTAAGAGAGGGAACTGGCCAAATACTGGCCTGTCTAAAACTACTCACCATCCTCACTCCTTCCCAGACCTTTACCATGTACAAGGCACGATGCACCAAGGTCAGTTTTGTCTCAGGATCCCCGCATGTTGTCATGGCCTTGTTGTACATGGCAGCTGCCTTGGAGAACTGGGATACATTCAAAGTTTTCTTGCCTTTCTTGAAGTAAAAGTCACCAAGAGATTTTAGAACCTCAAGCTCTAAGATGACATCCTCCTTTGCAATTGCAGTCACTAACATTTCTGTATAACTCTGTTCAATGTATTTTCCACCCTCCTTGTCCAGTTTATCACAGATTTGTGCCACCCTTAAGACATTACTGTCAGCAGTACCCCTGTAGTCTGGTGACAGCCACCGGAAGTGTGGACTGTACCCCTGCAGCAGTTCTTTGCACAGTTTTGAGTGTTCAAGTTCATCTTGAAGTGTTTCTCCCACGTCTGGATCTTTGCAGTGCAGTAAGGCAGCAGCATACAGGGCAGCAGCCTTGTCAAACTCTGCTGAATCTTTACTGAGCTTGGCTTTCTCAAGACGCAGGTCTCCAAGACTTTTCAGGACTTCTACTTCCATGGCATAATTCATGAAAACTAAGGCCTCTCTAAGTGCATGCACAAAAACAATTTCTTTGTCATCTTGGCTGTCAAGATGCAACTGAAAGTTTTGCAACTTCTTTGCCAGGCTACTTGCCATATTGATACCTGTCAGTTTCCGGTTCAGTTTGTTTTTAACAACATTTTTCGAGTTTCAGGAGAATTACACATTTTTTTCCTCACTTTGCAACAGTGTTGCAGATGACTTACTGTGACTAATTTTGAGAACAACTAATTCTAATAGGTGTGAGTAGTGTTTTGTAACTGTTGCTGATCTGTGGAAATAAAGAAGATTCCATTTTCAGTTCATGGGGAAAAGGGTAACAGGCAAACACTGATATGATCAAGATTGCTTGTCTTTATCAACATTTTCCTGTCATATGTCTTACATTAATTGATGCACTTTTAGACAAGTTTAAAGGAGGTCTATGATGTATGAGATTGTGTGACACTGTACTGTAGAATCATCTAGAGTAAATTGATTTTTTATGTTAAAATCAATAATAGCTTGTGTTCTCGCCTGATTTAATAGACTACAGTTACTATAACTTACTCTGCATACACATATTGGTTTGACTAAAAATGTCTGTGCCCTTTTGATACTGTAATCACTTTATATTCATGCTGGGAAAAGTTTGTGTAAGTCACTTCAACAGAGTGCCAGGAATTTCTGACACTTCTTTCCACTTTAAGGCATGTTTCAGCCACCCTTAAGACATTACTGTCAGCAGCACCCCAGTAGTCTGGTGACAGCCACCGGAAGTGTGGACTGTACCCCTGCAGCAGTTGTCTGGAGAGTTTCTCCATGTAGCGGATACGATGTTCTACCGTTTGACCTACATCTGGATCTTTGCAGCGCAGTAAGGCAGCAGCATACAGGGCAGCAGCCTTGTCAAACCCTGCTGAATCTTTACTGAGCTTGGCTTTCTCAAGACGCAGGTCTCCAAGACTTTTCAACCTCTACCTCCATGGAACAATCCTCACTAGCATTAGCTTCTCTCAGTACCTGTCCATAACTGACTTCTGTGCTGTACGGACTGTTAATGTACAGTTGCTGCAGTCTGTTTGCCAAGTTGGCCATGCCGATACCAGACATTGTCCAGTGTTTACTCTAGATCTGTTGACGTAAATGTCTAAATCTTACCTGGATGTCTGAGAGTCTATACCAGCATGGCTAGAGACTTGCCTGTTTCCCTGTTTCGAAGCAAAATCTCTGAGTTTTCTTCAGTACTCATAGGGAAAGAGTTTCTGTTCCTCATTGTGTGTGTGAAACTTCTGGGTTTCCCCTGTATTATGACTGGGGACTTTCCCAGTGTTGTACTTCCGGGTCGTTCTGTTGGGTCACACCTGAGCGAGCAGTGTTCTGTTTGACTTAGTAAACACAAAGATGGGGACAAAAGTCAACCTCTCATGTTTCAAGGACATTGGGCTCTGTTATTACTACCAGCACTATAGTACTGTGTGTCACTCACTCACTCACTATCCAGGGTTAGATTGTAAATAGTAGATCACATTAGTATGTATAGTATCATTGCTGTATCCTTTTCCTTGTCTATCCATGACCTACAGACTTAGCTTGTTAGAGCACAAACGTACAATTAAGGTCTTTCATTCACAGCTGCTGTTGTCCCTGTCACAGGGGTTGGCAGCAGTCGGCTAGTAGTACTGGTCTTACTGTGTACTCCACAATTATCTTTCATTCAAAACACAACAGCAAACTTAAGCAGGATTGGCCGGAGAAAGGGAAAAGCCTTCAAGATTGAGGAAAAATGTGGCTGTTGGAGCCAAAACTGAGTGAAAAAAGGGTGGTCACATGGGCTAGGGCCCTATCAAGTTTGTGTGCTACAGCTAATTACAAAAAATTGAGACATTTTTTCCAATTTATATATGGGGAAAATGCACTGAAATCAGTCTATAAAACAGGGACATTTGTTGACATGACATATATGTGTTTATCTTTTTGACGTGTGTTAAAAATTTGTGATTTAGTGTAAAAAATTTTGAGAATTCTATCCATCATTTACTGTGTGATTTTTAGAACCATGTATGTACAGTATTCAGGTTTCAGTTTGTGGTAATATGACTGTACATACATGTACCTTTTCTTTGTACTCAGTTCAAACAATTATTGTTTCACCCATATGTTATGAAATATAATATTTTCAGATAGATGTGCCACTGAGTTAAGTCATAATTGAGCTGCAGCTGTTTAATACCATTGAGATGGATTTCTCACTTGATGTCATTTGAAATTGTTGTCATAATGTTTTTGCCTTTTTGCACTCAATTAACTTCTTGAATACCTTAGATATGCTGTGTACACTATTGCCAAATACTGACTTTCATGTGTATATGAATGAGCTTGATCTGTTTTTTTTATTTTATTTCATGAAGTGATCTTTGGAATGCATTTCATGTGTGTCGTTGGCTTTGATGTTTTTGTATGTTCCTAGTTGTAATTTAATGGATGTCAAACATGAGATGACTATCATGTTGTTATTTGAATTGTGATATCTTACATGATATCATGTGTGATAATTTTTCATGTCATTGTTCTTTGGTAATTAATATGATATATTTCTACATGTATGTCCATTGTTTTTTGTGCTCTTCTTTTGTCTCTGTAACATTGTTCCATGTGCTCTTTCCCTAACCAAATCAGGTTGATTTGATTTGATTTATTGAAATTGTAACAATGCAATACACGCGGAACAGAGGCAGCTGTTGCTGGTGTTGTGTCCTGCACATAGAAACAAATACAGGACAGACAATACTCATTTTCACTTGAGTCTAGTGGGGAAAGTCGTGTAAAGTGCCTTTCCCGAGGGCACAAGATCGGTGGCATGTCAGGACTCGAACCCGGGACCTCTTGGTTCCGAGTCGCGCACGCTGCCATTGCCATTTTTAGAACAAATGGATTTGTGATACCTTATATTATGTGATGTCTTGTGTGAGATGTATTTTCATGTGATTGTTGTTTAGTCAGAATATTCTCTGATTGTTCACTTTTGGCTGTGCTCTTGTTTTGCCTCACTAACATGTTAACAATGTTCCATGTGCTCTTCCCCTAATCAAAGCAGGTTTTATAACAAATGTTGTGAATATTATGATGTCATGCATGTTTACTATGTGAATATTGTTTAAACATTGGTGTATCCTTGGTGTATGTAAATTTGGGATGAGATTTTTCTGAATGTTAATTTCTTTTCCACCCTAGCTGATGGGAAGCTGAGACTGTACCTGACCATGTTCCTGTGTGCTGTGGGACCTGTCTGCTATCCTGTGTGTGCTGTGGGACCTGTCTGCTATCCTGTGTGCCTGCCTGTCCACATCCCTGGAGGACCTGAGTGCGTATATTCCAGGAGGATTTGCCTGTGTGTGTTCCTGAGGGACCGGTCTGTGTTCCTGTCCATAATTCCAGGAGGATTTGCTTGTGTGTGTTCCTGAGGGACCTGTCACCTATCTACGAGACAAGAGAACATCGGACCTTGACGTGAGTTGGCCTTATTTTTAGAACTCTTTCAAAAATGGGGTCTGCATGCCGCAATGCGTAAGCACTCGTCTTAGATTTGAGTAATCCAAAATCGGGTCGTCATGACTTGATATTAAATGTAATCTTTGCATAATTTATGGGTAAAGCATTAAGCCTGCATGAATGAAGCGTAATACCGGGTCGCTGCTTTGCATTATAACTTTTGCGCTTTGACATTTTGCATAATTCGAACTTGAACCAAGTCTATGTCTGCACGAATGAAGAATAAATCGTGACCGCTGCTTCCAGAATTTAGTGTAAAGCGTGATCGGGACATCCCATGCATGCAGACCCCTAAAATTAAAAATGACAATGAAATATGTTGGAATAAGGCATCTCTGCGATGCTCTAAACTTTTAGTTCCAAACACCTGATTGTCCAAACTGGCCCTCTCTTCTATTCATTGTCATTTTTGATTGAAAGAGTTCACATTTCTAATACTAATATCTAGTTTAAGGTTGTGACTAATGTTTGTTTGCATTTATGGCAGAGAACACAGTACATTTTCTTATTGAGGAGAGCACTTGTAATATTGTCTGTCATTTCATTCTGTATAGCAATGGGATACTGTTTTCAACAGCATTTGTGATCAAACTGTTTTCCCTCATATCCTCTTCATCATTCTTGTCTGCGACATGCAGCGTACAAGAACTTCATCTGTTTTTATGCTTCAGTCAGGTGTAAATGTTGACAAGTTTGACACAACAAACGAAATTCAAGTCTGAAAATTTAGTGTTGGAATAATAATTGTAATATCCATGGCCGGGACTGTTCCTTTGAGTTCTAAATCCATGAAAGGAAACATCTAATTGTAATGTGTTCACAATAATATAAATTTGCAAAAAGCATGTACAATGTTTGACCCTGATTTACCTACAATTCTACACATTTGTCTTTCACTGTTAAATATGCTTAAAATGTAGGTCAAACACAATCAAGATAATTATTCTTGTATTGCACATAATTTGCACAAAAAAACAAGCCATCGATAGACATTTCAAAAACTTTTTAAACAATTGCAACATATGAGCGATACAATATTCTACAATAAATATAATTTTTGTGTTCCCGATGAAGTGGATTAGAGGGAAAATACTTTCGTCACATAATGATTGTTGGAAATATGTCCTATTTCTATACAGAAGAGGGAAAAGACAATGTTGTGCTTTCTTTCTGTAGTCTGAATGTACTACAGGTAAGCTGTGTGTGATGTTTGAAAGGGAGGAATTGTGTTATGGAATCAGCGAAACAAAAAATAAGTATTTCTTTTGCGAGGATTATGATTTTATTATGGTTTCTAGATAGGATAACTAAACAGTACATTGAATGAAACTGTAGATAGAGTTACAGTGAGAGATCTCTGTAAACACTTCTAAACAGACAGTTGTAGTGAGAGGTTGACACATTATGTAGCCAGCATTTGAGTTAGGAAGTTCAGGTAGTGTAGCTAAAAGATTTAGTCAGTCAAGTTTTGAAGTCAATTGTTGCAACTACATTTAGCATAGATAGCTAAGGGCAGTAAAAAGAGAATTGTAAAAGGAGAGAGAGGTTGATGAGTGTCTAGGAGTCTCTGCAACATATCCGACACAAAAACATTACTGCAGGCGTTCTAATTCAAACAGTCATTTTAGAGCTTGTATAACTAAACTGTAGACAGTTGCAGTGACAGGTTGATAAAAGTGTCTAAAAGCAGGCATGGCCGCTACCGAAGGTGGGCTGGTCTTCAATACGGTTCTGCGACGGTCTCTGCAACATTTCAGACACAAAAACATTAATACAGGCTTGTTAATTTAAAAGTAGCCATCTTTAAGGGCAGTTCTAAAAGGTAAATTGTTGGAATGGAAAGAATCTTTGGGTAAATAATAAGACAGTGTAGTTTTGTTTCGCTGATTTCTTTGAAGTCATGTAGACTCCAGACTTTGTTATCACTGTTGATGAACTTGCAGCAACACTTTTACCTTCTGTTGCAAAATTCAGGTTTCGTGTCATGTTGATCTGGTAAAGTTTGACGGCAATGTGTTACGCTGACAGACTTTATTTGATGAGCTTGAGACTAGGCCTGGATTTTGGAGCAGGAGGTTTGAATTGTTGAAAGTACGTAAACAGTGATAACAGAGTTTGATAGAAGGTTTCTATCACTGCATGACAAAACACAATTCCTCTCTTTCTGTATGTTCTTAACCTGGGTGCCAGACTTGTTTCTGGCTGCTAGCCGTTTCCCTTCGGCAGCCAGAAGCCCTTCACCCGCCTGTGTAAATTACCGCTACGGGCTAGACTTCCCCTTGGCGGTAATTTAGACAGACGGGCAAAGGGCTTCTGGCTTCGGAAGGGAAACGTCCCGAAACGAGTCTGGCACGCAGGGTAGTATGCTCTATGCTTCCACTTCTTGTCCCTGGGCTTAGCCTGGAGGAGGAACTTCTGTCTCAGGGTTCAAACTTACACATGTCTCGACTCTGCGTAGTAGACTTGTTGACGGACAACTTTGTCCGTCATCAGGCCTACTACGCTAATGGAGAGGGACTTTGTGTATTTTTGTTACCCTGGCCCAG